TAGCATAAAAGGTTTTTTGGAGTTGAGTAAAGAAGCCAATGCTACATATACACTGTAGAACCCCAATGAACCCTTTTTTCTAAGAGTGTACAATGGAAGAAAATAGACATTTAGACATACAGCCTTTAAACACTAAAGATCTTAAAGGCTTTGTACAAAAGTATACTTATTGTAAAATAGATTTTCCCAAATGTATTATTGGTTTTTATAAGAGTTGGATGGGTTTAAAAGACTCAAATATGTCTGCAACATTAGCATAAAATAGCCCTAATTTTTTCCTGCAATTCTGTTTGAAGTAAATGGTCCATTTAGGCACTCGAATAGCCCTGACATATGCCTCATCCTGGCAAATGGTACACAAAACCTTGGCCTTATTTGCAAAACGGTCTGTTCTAACAACAATATTTTAATTCAATTTTACTTATATGGAACTGATTAAAACATCATGTTACATTTTAAAACATTTCTTGTGAAAATATAGTCTACATGCATGGGAGTCAAAGAACTGCAGTGTTGGTGTTGGCCTGAGCTGAATGTGTGACTCATTGATGTTCTTTGTGTAAGCATGTGAACACTGTAATAAGTATGAGAAGGCTTTTTCCCGTAGAGCAGAGAATCACTACAACTCCCTAAGATTCTTGAGGCTGTATTGTTGCATGTGGAGTTCTGACAGATTAATAAAGTCTGGCCATCCACAAGCACGGAGGCCATAAGCCAAGAAGAGGGCCCTGGATAATTTCATTACAAGTGAAAAACAGTCAGATGACATCTCCGCTGGCCACGCTAAATCAATATGAGGTTTTTCCACTTTGTGTTTGATATGTGAAAACAAAATGCATATATCTTCTGCACCAAGGTAAGATGACACTGTTTTTGTTTAATCTTTGTAGGAGAAAGATTTTGTACATAACTTATTGGTTTCTTAAGACAGCAGTATTACAATTTCTAGTAATTTTCTGTAGCGGTATTATCACGTAATAATTTAAATACAAAATAATTTGAATAGGGGTGGCATTTAAAAAAAAATCAATCAGTCACAATGCAGACTGCACACAGATTTAAAGTGGTTAGATTTGAACACATTTACAATGCAGAACATATTTTATATATAATATTTTATATTTAGTTCAATTCTGAATTAAAATCAGTATTTTCAAATAAATATTCTTCAAGGTTCATTTGTATTTCATGGTCCCTGCTGTCCACCTCAACTTGAATTATTATAATATCTGACACTTCATTATAAATACAAACCTATAAAAAATGCTTAAGCTTTACCAAAAGATATTTCATAATGTCTAAAATATATACCTGGACACTGAAAAATAAAACTAAAGAAAAACTTACTTTATGACCCAGGGGAACAGTTCATTTGCTCCATATGGAGCTAATAGTCCATAGTGTTGAGAAATATATGTTATTATTTTGTTTTTACACAAGAGGTCAGCAGAGACACCCAATGTGAGACTTTTTGAGCTGTTTTAACAAGTTTTTGCACGTGACGTAATGGAGAGTTATTTTGTATTATGTAATTCAATTCACGCGTTTTGTGTTGAGTTTTTTTTTACAATACACATCAATTAAAATCAGCTTTAGAGAAAGTGTACAAGTCCATATTACAATTTCGAGTGTTCTGTCATCAGAGGTAACTTTCTAAGTTAAGAATTTCAGAAATGTGCAAAATGTATTAATTTAAACAATGTAATAATTTAATGCAGAAACAATTAGCTCATCGAAATACTGAATACATTTTTGTTATATTATGAAAATCTTAATGATTATGACATTTAGATAGCATTGGTAGCCTATATATTTAAGAGAAAGGATGTGAAGATTGTGCTTAAATTCAGCCCATTCTCACCCCCAAGGCTGGGAAGCATTTTGACCATGCTTCAATATCTGACGCTTTTGGCGCCCTTTAGTCAGTTAGATGACGCCCTAGGATCGCGTGTAACCCTACCCCTACCCCAGACCTAAACCTACCTGCGTCATCTAACTGACGCTTTTCCTTTGGATCGCGTCATGTAACTGACGCTAAAGGGCGCTAAAAGCCCTTTATATTGACGCATGGTCAAAAGGTGACACCTTGGGGTGAGAATGCATGCGTTGTTAAATTATACTATTATCAAATTAATTATTGATAAAATCTAGGAATTTAGAGGTATATTAAATAATAAAAAAGAACAAAATATCTTTAAAATGCATTAAAAATAGAAAGAAATTATAAAAAAAATTAAGTGAAGCGTTCGGACAAAAAAGAATAAGTATAATTATAAGTATAAGTATATATTTTTTTAATTATTATACTTTTATTATATAATTATTTATTATAGAAATATAGTCAATATATTTTACAGGTTCAGGAGGAGAGGATAAGGGTTAAATAAAAAAAAAATATTGCAAATAAAGCATCAAATTTTTCAGAGAATTGCATGCACGTAAGAGTTTACAATGTGTCATGTTTGGCATAAGTACTGAATGCAGGTGAATAATTTGTTTCTTGCTGTATCTCACAGGCCTTCACATTGGACAATCTTCCTCCAACACTTAAAGAGATATTAAGTGAGCTCTGATGCCATCTAGAGTGATCATCTTTCTTCAGAGAAATCAGATTTTTTTTCCCCTCCCCTTAACAAATTGAGTTTCCCTGTAAAGGTACTGTAATTCTTAACCCCAGCAGACACTTCCTGGCTCATCTTAACTGACAGCTTCCTGATGACACTTAAATCAGATCAGTGCCTGGTCTGGGTCTCTGAGAATTCCCCCAATACCTGCAGGATTACACCCCTGATTGCCTTCTTTAAGATGGGGGATAAGAGCAGAGCCCCCACAAGGCCGCACTAAACACAGACATGATGCAATAACTCTACTGGCAGCTTTTAAATCCCCCTTTCCTCTTCTTCTCATGAGATACAGCTGGCCTCATTTCCCCCCCTTTCAGCTTTGAGTACTCATTTATAATGACTCTTAAAGGAGGTCATGATTTCTTGTAGTTTAATGGGCATTTTTTGCCCACTCTTTTGTGAGTGCCTTTGGAAATACTTGGATTGTGATTAGACATGCAACGGTAATTGAAACATGATAAATATTACAATCCATACAGTACAAGCATGTTTCATAACATGTTTCTGTCTAAATATAGAACCTATATTTAGGGTTTCACAAAAGACAAAAGCCATATTAATATAGGCATATTACAAATGCGTCCTTTTAGAGCAGATCAGAGAATAATGTCAAGTCTTTATCATGTTTGATTCACATCTATGCTGCTTGGCTAGTTTAAAACATGTCTTTTATGATGTATAGTATTCTTCTGTTTCATAGGCATTATGTTTTCATAAACGTGTTTTTTTTTTGTCAGTGATTGCTTGTTGATAAGGTATTTACTTGTTTTTCAACTTGAGTGATATTCGTTTTTAAGCTGCACTGATTCCACAATATTTGTTAATTTCATGAAATTCCACTCTGTCTAAAGTGAAATACTCAGTGTTGAAATTGACAAAAACTGACATGTGCAACATATTTCTGGTGCCAGGCACATTGTGAGCTTTTGTATTTCTAAAGTGTCTGTGAGTCCTCAGATGACAAAAATCAAATGAAACATAACAGAATAATAATGGGGCACCGCGGTGAACTCAACTGAAGAATGAAAAGACTGAGACAGAAAAAAAGGTCTGCGGGAAAAAAACACTCCCTGACCAGTGTAGCAGCCCATGAAATTGAAGTTTGGATGGCTGAACGTCATTCAATTTTTGGAACTGTTCTGGAAAAGAGGAAAAATTGATTGCTGCTCTCACTTTAAAAAGAATTGATCCCTGCAATCAAAAATATGGCTGACATTCTTGGCCGTCTTATACGTTGGCATTAGCACTATGCTGTTAGGGCTAACATGTTACAGATAATTGAAAGATAGCATACTTGGTGCAAGACAGCTTTACCAACCACTTTAAATACCTGACCCAAAACTTCAATTTCAGGATAAGCCTGTATATTTACTGCATATACTTCACATGGGGACTTGCTTGAGAGAGCTTATACAAGTAACCAGAAGAGTATAAGGGGAATGTTCTGGAGTCTCAGCATGATATTCCTGATGATATTCCACTATTGTATCAAACAAGAACGTATTATTCTAAGAAAGAAATAATTGACGACGGGCCGTTGAATTATTGAGAAATAATGCACAACGAAGTGGTGATGTGGAAGGTTACTCTTCGGGTTAGCATTATTATTCCACCACGGTTACCACACCTCAAAACATTGTTCAGATGTTTTATTTCAAGACATTCCTCAGGTTTTTGTCCATAAAACCCTCTTGTGTGTCGAAATGATTTATATTATATTCTACTTTTACTACTTAGGCTACTAAATAATTTTCACATCCCAAGCCTTCGTTGCCAATTCCAAAACGTCATTTTAAAGCTAAAGTTGCACATTTTTCATAATCAAGTATTTAAAAACCTGTGGTAAGAATCGTTAAGATAAATTCTATTCTATTCTATTTTATTCTAATACTCTCTTTCTGCAGGTTACATTGATACACCATTAAGTGGCGACAAGACTTTATTTACTTTTTTGTCTTATGAATAAAATCTGTTAAATTTGAACCGATTCACTCCAAACACAGTTTCAGAAAATGATTCAGAAACGAAACAACTGAGAAGAGCAACAGTTCTACTGTGGCTTTGTTTTTGGCTATTTTTATTGACAGAAAACAGAAAATAGTGCCATTTACTGGACTGTGAGAAATATTTTTTTTATATTTTTTTTTTATCTAAATCGGTTTCTAACCAAAATCAGATCTCAGATCACTTTGGTTTAAATTCACTCTCCACTTTTAAATATCAAAGGGATGGTGAATTGACCTTGTGGCAGTTCGGCACTCTGTGTAGTGGGAGGGGAGACAGAAGAGAGGAACGTCTGCGAGTGTAACAGAAAAAGAGCAAGAGAGATAGAGAGAGAGAGGGAGCGTAGCACCACTTTACTGAGCAGAGTGAATAGTTAGGAGTTGTGGCTGGGACAGTCCAACCACTTGGACACAAAGAAGCACAGCCAACACAGGGTACCGTCTACAACAATGAATGACATCAAACTGGCCCTGCTGGGCAGTGAGGGAGCAGGTAAATCTGGTAAGTGCTCATCTTATAGTGAATATAGTCTATACATTTTATATGCATATGCGTCTTTCAGATTAACTAAAACTTTACAGCATCTTTTTTTTTTCATGTGCGTGTTGCATGGTCCTCACATTTTCATCCATGTGTGAGCGGTGTGTTAGTGTGTGTATCATTCACAGCGCAATTATTTCTGTCCTCTGCAAACACTGGAAGCACTTTGTATATTGGAACAGATCATAGTGAGATCATCGTTAACTTATAGAAGTCATCTGAGAGGGAAATGAAAATAAATAGTTGTAAGATGCAAGTAATTGCTGAAATTGGCGAAAGATTATTTTTTTGTTCCACTCTGCGGGATAGGAGCATTTATCCCTTCAGGCTGCATACCTGTACTAATGACTATTAAGGAGTTGGGAAACGATGATGCTACATCCCCTGAGACCAAAACTAGTTCAGTGGGAGTCACTAGGGATCAGGGTTTGGGTCCAAATGACCAGGTTTGAAGGCAGAACAGAACAACAAGGAAGGTCTGTTGTCGATTTGAGGTTTGGTGAGAAATAAGTGTTAAAATATGACTGAAGGATTGAAAGCAGCTTTCACGAAGCTGCCTCAGAGTGTGTATTTATGCACGGAAACTCAAGCCCTGACTTCAATGACTCAATGAGCCAGCATAGCTTCATGGCTCAAATATTTAATATAGACCAGGTAGTGTGCTCATGGAGAAAATGTAACGGTTTTTCCTATGCCAAATACGCACCAGCGTTCACTGTAGAGTTGGCCAAGTCTTTGACGAGGAGCTTTGACCTTGTGCCCTCTCTTCCTTTTTCAAGCTGTCATATGAGTCATGTTCAGTACATCACAGCTCTAACTAATTAATCAATCTTCCCCTCTCTTTTGTCCTCAGCGGTTTTAGTGAGATTTTTGACCAAGCGGTTCATAGGAGAATATGCATCAAATGCCAGTAAGTAGTCTCACATGCATATTTAATAATGCAGCCAGAACTTTACTCATGTTTTCATGGGGTTTATCTGCCTCAGGATTATGTCTGGCATATTATTAAATGTTTAATTCACATACTGTACGTAAAGCATTTCACACATGAACAACATAACTCTGAGCATGCAAAAGGATTTCCATTATAAACTGCCAACAGATAAAAAAGGAATTAAATGATTGAAAACTTATTGCATACTAAAAACGTTCTCTTTAAAAGACAAGCTCTAAGAGTGCATACATATACTGTTAAAAAAAGCTACAGTAAAAAGCTTTTAACTGCTTAACTTTAAGTTACCTTATCATATATGGAGAAAAACTGTAAATGGTTTAGCATCACATTATATGTAATTTTACTTAAAAAGAGTATTCCCAGAAGTCCTTGTATGACACATCAAAAATGATATTTCATTAATTTAGTTTCTTCTTATTTTTGTATGCTGTGTACATTATTAATTAATTGAATTTTTTAGAGTCACACACCCTGATGGTGTTGCTTTTGTCTTTGTGTGTATGACCATGTGCTCTGTCTACAAACATGTTTATTATGGTGGTTATCAGTCCAAGTCAGATTTTTGTCCTTAGATTGTTAATTTAACTTTATATAACTTAAGGAAATATACAGCTATTAGTTGTAAAATATACAGGCACCATTATGTTACCCCATAATACCTGCAATATTGTAACTGTATTTTGTATTACAGTCAGTAAAGGTTTTTTTTTTTACTATAAATTTAACCGGATATATTTTTATTTACTTATTTAGTTTTATTATTATATATCATTTATTATTTTTTTACAGTCTTCTTATGTTTTTATTTTATCTAAGAAAGTTATACAGGGTTAGTTAAAAAAAAACATGTAATTATTTACTTACATTGTTCCAAATCTGTGTGTCTTGGAATGGGGGCTGTAGAAAGTAAACGAAGAAGGAGTAAATGAGGGAACTAAACAGAAACAGCTGGACAAAGATTAACTAATCAGTTACCACGGAGACTAATGAGAACTCATACAGACATGACAGGAACAACTAAACAGAACATAATCAATTTTGGACTTTCATTGTTCAGAAAAAAGATTCTTCATAATATCTACTTTTGTGTTCCACAGAAGAAAGAAAGTCATACAGTAGCCATATGAAGCAAAATAAATAATAACATAATTTTCAATTAATTTTTTCCATTATTTAAATTAATTGTAAAAGGCCTTGCCCACGCAATACTGTTGTGTGTTTTCCCATTGTCCAGTTCCCAAAAGTCTAATCCATCCAATCATGCCAAGGATTCCCGATGCTCCAGTATTCACCCACCTCTGATCCAATGACATGTGCATCACATCACATGCACTCAGTCTCTACTTTTATTCCCTTGAATTTTATATGAGCACCTAATGGTCCACCTTCATTTCAGGGGGTCAGATTTTATGATGCACGTTTGTTGTAATACCAAGGATTTTATCCAAAATTGTTTGTTGCAGACTCCTTATACCATAAAAGGTTCTCCATTGATGGAAGACAGTTGAACTTGGAAGTCTTTGATCCGTGCTCGCAGGTTTGTGTTTATACATTCATAACGTCTACCCTGAGCTCATGGCTAGCATTCATACAAACACTGCCATAGGGCAACATGCTCAGATATACCGGCTTCTTATGGGAAATGCATGTTGTGTTCTGATGGGATTTATGATATTTCCCTGAAGCAGAGTATACAGTGCAAAGGCTTTGAAAACTGAGCCTCACAGCTTACAGCTGCTGCATCTGGGAACCTTTACTTCGGCAGTTATTGTTTTACTTTGATTTCCGAAACCGAAGTCCTGATATGAGCACCTTTCTACCCTGTAACTAAATGCTTGTGCTATAAACAGCCAACATAAGTCAGTCACTGCATCTAAAACAAAAACTTCTGGCAGAGAAACTAGTCAACTGTAAACAAATGAAATTATAGTCCACTTTTCCATTTTGTCAAAGTGGACTTTAGATGAGCATGTTTTTTTTGTTTTGACTGGACCTCTGTGTGCCCCCCGTCCCCTGGCAGAGTGGAGAGAGCAGATGTATCCTGGAGGAACCGGTGGATTGGGCTGATGGCTTTGTGGTGGTGTACACCATCAGCGACCGTACGTCCTTCTTAAATGCCAAAAATATCCTGGCACAGATCAAAGAAAGTCGTCGAGAAACCTGTAAAGGGTGAGTCAGTGTCTCTCCAGTGACTTTTTGACCTTTGTCTGATCCTGACTGGAATAGGAGGATGGAGCTTTAATGAATTAACCAGGACCATTTGCCGAACAGCGAGGAGAGGCTTCCTGCTTAGATCAGTGCACATCTGTAAAGGACAGACTGGGTCACATTATGACTAGACCACAGCAACATACACAACTCATAAAAATCAGTCCGTGTCAATGGTATTTCCAATGGTTTTGATAACTGCAGAATGACCAGCAGGCCAAAGCTTTCCATTTTAGTCCATCGCATTTATAGAGAAATTTAAAAGTCTGATTGGTTTAGGTTTCATTGGCTATTTGTCATTTGAAAGTCCTTTGAAACAATAGGAAGTGAGCATGAGACTAGGCATCTGGAGCCCATTAGAACTCTGAAATGGGCAATGAGATCACTCATGGGTGGTTTTAGTTCCTCAATTTATTTAAAAGTTTTACACTTCAAAACATGGCAACAAATGTAGTGTGGTTTTAGCTTCGCAGCAATTTTCCAACCCATTTCTTCGTTGTTTGAACTCACACATTGTGACCATTTGATATTTTATTTAAAATTGTTCCACTTGCTATACTGCCACATGAGGTAAATGTCTGCCAATGCCATTGTTCCAGAAATGAAACTCAGTGTGGGAACATGTTTAGAGTCAGTATAGTACCATTTAATGCCATGTATTGTAGCATTATTAGACTGTAACCATTATAAATGTATTCCCAACCAATTCTCAATTTACTTACAGTAATACATCATATGGCCATGTTTTCTTCATAAAGCAAATATCTCTTGAAAGAAAATCATCTGATTTCATTTCAATAGAGATGTTCCCATCTGCCTGGTGGGTAACAAGCAGGACCTATGCCACAGCCGTCAAGTGAGTGAGGAGGAGGGCCGCTCCCTGGCCCAGGAGAACAAATGCCACTTCCAGGAGGTGTCGGCGGCTGAGAACTACCTGGACATCTCCAACCTCTTCATCAAACTCATCCGGCATGTGATGGAACAGCTTAAGCATAGAGGTGACCGCAGACGGTACAGTGGCTCCAAGTCCATGGCCAAGCTCATCAACAATGTCTTTGGCAAGAGGAGAAAGTCTGTTTGAGTGCAGAACATAAAATCTGCAACAGAATCAGCAACAGAGACGTGTCCTTGTTAAGCACAATTTTCTTGAAATTTTTATATACACAAGTATGCTCTAATGAGTACTGTAACTCAAATACCACAATGAGAGATCCCATGGAGCCAAGAACATCATATAGAACAGTTGTTCTCAATCTCAACCCCCAAGACTTTTACAGAAGTTCATGATTTACTAAATAAATACAACGTTCTGTCATGAATCTCTAAATGGCACAGGCTAAAAAGGTACTTAACTCAACCTGCTTGCAATCACATTGTTATCTATGCGACACTGATTGGCTGATTGGTTCCTGCTGTATCAGTAGCAATAAGCTTGCGTGCTCAACCTTCAAATACCTTGGTAGTATTACCAAAGGTATCGGTAAAAGGAACAAATCTTTTCCCGAGTCAATTCGTTCATTTCGTTCGGTGAATGAACCAAATGACACGAAAAAAGATTAGTTCATTTTGACAAAAGAGTTCGAACAGGATCGAGAGTCACGAACGCGCATCACAGAACAGCTTATAAAACTTAAACTTTGTTATTTTGTTTAATGAGCGATCGTTTCGCTTGATAAGACCCTTATTCATCGTCTGAAATCGTTTAAAGCCTTTTGAACAGTTTACAGTTTGCACTGAAACTGTCTTTTGGACCTTGAACCATTTGGTTACCAGTAAAGTGTATTATATGAAGAAAAATCCTGGAATGTTTTCATCAAAAACCTTAATTTCTTTTCGACTGAAGAAAGAATGATATGGATATCTTGGATGACATTTGGGTGAGTAAATTATCAGCAAAAGTTTTTTTTAAAGTGAACTACTCCTTTAAGACCATACCAACATTGATATATAACCATGCCAAACACTCAGAGAGTGTTGAAAAAAAATTGACCACAAAAAAAAAAAAAATTGAAAAAAAAAAAAAATTAATAATAATAATTGACCACATCAAATATCCAGGGTTGTCAATACCATTGGCATCCTGGTTGTTTAAAGTTGTTGAGGGCTGCTTAATTGCTAATCTTGGGGTCCCCTTCTGTTGTTTTTTAGTAGAAAGAAAAATCGTAGCCCTATTTTTCCATGTTGTTTTATTTTACTATTATCTATCTATACTATTTTTTTTGTGACACATGTACACCTGTTGATAATATTTTCAATATCGTTGAGAGGGATGGTAAATGTTTGCAACTTCGAAAAGCTTTTGCTTTTCTATTAAAAAATAGCACACATTCTTTCCCTCGGTCTTTGAAAATGTTTTGATGCCATGAGATTGAGTTTGTGTCAAGGAATGCACAACAAAGTCAGAGTAAATTTCATATATAGATGCTGTGATGAGGTGTAAAATTGCAGGTAAATTTCCTTTGTAAATAAAACCTAGGCAGAGGAATGAAAATAAAACTCTCCTGCATTCCTTCCATATAATTCTCAAGGCCTTTTGAGTAAAAATAAAATAAAAACCAGACTGCAGCCTTTGTACAATACAATTGCAAGAAAAGGCTTGTTGTCCCTTGGGAATGTGTAAAAAAAAAAAACACAATCCTCTTATAAGGTTAATAACAAAAAACAACTGCACTTCTTTTTGCCAGTAGATCACTTTGTTTAAAAGTTAAAAGTCTAGAGTGGGAGAAATATGGGAACCTCTAAACTAACAACTCCTCTAAAGTATTTGAGAAAATCAGTCTTTCATTTCTAGGGCTGTCCCATTCAAAATTGTTCCAGTGCACTGAAATGTTTGCTCAGTAAAAATGCTCACAATGCAACCTAAAAGCTTACCCTGTGCATACCCAGTGTTTTCTTGAATATCAAGTCATCATGGCACTGTACTTTTAACAGTAACAATGATGATAAACAACACAAATCATACTAGAAGTGCAGTGGTCCTGGAATGCAATACAGTGATGTTGTTGATAAATACCAATGACATTTATGTGCAACCCAGTTTTCGATCAGTGCCCCAATGTTTAGGGCTCAAAGTTCTTGCTAGTGCTTGAATTTGTGTTCACGATATACTGACTTCACAACACAGGGAACTAGGGACTATAAAGAGACACAGCAATAGAAGCCATGCAAGACTTCTCTAAAAAGAGAAGAAAAGAAGACATCTCAGAAATATTGATCAATCAAGAACTCTCTTGTTGAAGGCTGCTTATCAAATGAAGGAAGAATTAAACTGAGGTTACAGCTGCTAAAGTTACAAAATACTATTCTGATTATACTTTTCAGTTTATTGTCTACCAGTATTTTTATGTGAAGTTCAATCATTTGTGTGATTAGTTTAAGCAGGCAGTGTTTGTCTTTTTTTTTTTTTTTTTTTTTTTTGAAGAGCAGCTTTATAATGTAGAACATTATAGTAACCTACTAATAAAATGGTTTATTTTTAAATGGTTTATTTTTAAATTTTTACTATTACACTCTAAACAATGCTAGGTTGTTTGAACCCAAATTTGGGTAAAATATGGACAAAAATGTTGGGTTAAGTAATTTAAAATTTTACGCCAACTTCAACTTTCACTTTCAACTGTAATATTTTAAATTGGATTTTTAACCCAACATTAGAGTGTATAATTATTTTAAAATTAATATTTTTGTTTACTTGTACACTCTCATAACCTGATATGTTTGCAATAAATATCTTTTTATCCCAAAGTGTTTATCTATGTAATTTATTTCACGTCTTATTGATCATTTTTTTCACATGAGTGGAACTTTTGTTTTGATTGCTGTTAGTTAATAGCATTTTATTTTTTACTCAGTCTCTTGGTTTAAATACGATTGGCTTACCCGTTGTTACTACAGCACTCAGGTTTTACTGTTTGTTTAATGTACTAAATTACCAGTTGTTTTCTAACCATACTGACTTAATAAAATGTACATAGAAATTATGTGACATCTTTCCTGTTATGCGGTAACTCAAGAGCTATGAATCTTTTAAAAAACGAATATACTTCTGTTGTAACTTTTAAAACCATTTCTTGGCAGAAGAGTAGGCCACTGCCACACTTACAGAAAAAATAACCGGAAAGACCCAGCAGTAACCAACTGTATGTGTGTCTTGTAAAACTGGTTCATGTCATAATATTAAGGAAGACGGGGAGAGAGACACACCATGTGTGCCACTGTCAAAAAAAAAAAAAAAAAAAATTTCATGACCCCTGCATGATCCAATAATCCACTAGATGGAGACAAACACCTATTACTTCCTAAGTTAAAAATGGACACAATTAAACTAAAAGTGAAAACTAAAAGAGAACCACATTTTGTGACAAATTAAAGTCAGCTTATTTTGACAGATGGAAGTTTAATTTGGATTCAGAAATAGCAGCCTATACTGTATGTATTCGCACTCAATTTTGAAATATCACATTTCATTAAAAGCTAATAGAATTAAAGAATATCCAAATTTCAAATACAGTATATCCATTAATTTCAAATAATGGTCAGGCGAAACAGTTGGAATCGGTTCGTGATTAAGTTGGGATTCATTCTGATAATTCACTTTACCTCGTTTTCTCACTATTGTTGAACAACACACTGCCAGCATACTTTGCAACGCTGAATGAACGCTGATCTATTAAGTTCTCCTTAAACTGCTCGTGCAAACGTCCCATTCTGAACACTGATGCACTTATCACACAAACACACACACACTATTATTATTATTTTGTTTGTTTGTGTGTATAATTTAAGTGCATCGCACCAGATAACTTTTTTTTACCTGCACTTAATGGGACGTTCACATTATATATCCATAGGCCGATATAAAATCAAAGTAGGCTACCATACCATAAATTGTGCACCAGTAGCCTACTGATGAAGAGCTAGAATCAACCTGGGTCGTGACATGACAATAGTAACCTACTTAGGATTGATGTTTTCAGTTTTTTAATTGGTTCTTCTCATACAGGAACTGTAGTGTGCAGCAGCATGGTGTGCAGGTGTCTCGTTCTCGTAATGTCCCTCGCACCACACCGTAGCTCTCCCTCCCTCTGGTAGGGAGGAAAGTTTTGACAACCGCGAGTGTAAATTCTCTTACATCAAGGTTTTCGATGACCTGCAAGAGGCTTAACAAATGAAAAGGCCATCGCAAACACAACAACCTATATGAAAGGTAAGTCTGTATTTAAAGAAAGCGTGTTGTATTAATGTCTCGTAAACTTTCATTGAGGAGGAAGCGCGAGCTGGCCAAGCGCTCTATGTTGCTATGGCAACGTGGTCCGGAGCAGCAGACAGTGTAATATTTATCTTCATAATGTGCAGTTAAATAACTCTAAATCGACCATTTCTCGCAGAAAATACAACGAAGATGTTCCTGTAGTCGTAATGTAAGTAACTTAAGAACCATAATTTTGAAACCCGTATGTTATATTAATCCTATTTTGCACCTCAATACGACTAAAACAACTTTTGAATTTTGCTTGGCAAACAACCTTGGCAACAACCGTCCATTACAGTTGAGAAAAAAGAAGACCCAATAAAACAGAAATAAGTAATTATTTTGTTATGATAAAAATGCTCAAAGCGAAGTTGTAGGCCTATTTATAAACTGAAGAACCTGCTTTCAGCACGCTCAGGATAGTCACCTAACCAATCAATACATAGCCAAACATAGTCGGTGTTTTGAAACATAAGGGAGCAATACAACATAGATTATGCTGGTTCTATGCCAGATAATTATATTTAGCTGGAACAGGTCACAGGGAGTTAATTGCTACTTGCACGCGATTTAAATAATTATTGGCTTTAAGCTACTGAATATTGGTTGCCTGGTTGTGCAAGGTCTCGTTTTGTCCTACAAAATAGGCGTTGTGCTATAACGTTTTGGAGTGGGATATAAACTAATATGCAGTGTAGTATAATTTTATCATTCTATGAGAAATATGGTAAAACTCTTGAGATAAAAAGAGTTTTTCTTTTATTGTTTGTTTTTTGGATAAGATAAAATTCTTGTTATGACATAGATTAATGGCTGGGGACGAAAGCAGAACAATATGGAGATAGAAAGGCATAAGGCACGCCTGAATCCATTCTTTGCATCACATCCTGTAGGCTCTACTAAGATGTTATAAATTTCCTTTCAAGCACAGACACAAAATACTGTGTATCATGGCTGAGAAGCAAGCTTCCTTCAGTTTTGGACAAAACCACAATATTTCAGAACTGGTCAATCATATTTCTAGGGTTAACGTTAAGGCCCGATATAGGCTACTAATAACGGCAAAGTTCTTTTTCATTCTTCGTTTTGGGTAAAATGCAGTTCGAAATACGTGAGTTAATGTTATCGAACATCTGACACTGCCCACACCATTGAGAGAAGCATTTAGATGAATTTGTAAATATGTGCTGTGTGGTTTTCTCTCTCAATAATAAAATAAAACACACAAAAAAATGTATAAAACAGCAAGCTTTTTAAAAATAGCATTATAAAAGCATCTTATCATAGCAATGTGAATATGTTTGCAT